AAATTGCACTAGCATATCTTAAAATCCTCTCCTTCACTCTTTTCTCTACCGGTATCTCCCATATCCAGTAGCTTCTCTGTATCCCTCAACCTCCAACCCCAAATCAGTCTCCACTTCCATCCCAATCTCCACTCAAATCTCCTCTCAACCCAATAAATAACAAAAGATATTTGTTTTTAAAATTTTTTTTAAATGTGTATTCACTTTTTTTGAGAGACAGGAGAGAGAGAGAGTGAGCAAGTCGGGGAGCAGCAGAGAGAGGGAGACAGAATCCGAAGCAGGCTCCAGGCTCCGAGCTGTCAGCACAGAGCCCGACGCGGGGCTGAAACTCACAAATCGTGAGATCATGACCTGAGCTGAAGTCAGATGCTTAACCGACTGAGCCACCCAGGCGCCCCACAGAAGATATTTGTTGAGCATACACAACCTTTTAAGCAACTTGATGAACGGTAAAGCTATATTGGTGGATAAAACAGAAAAGCAGTCCTGTTCTCATGATCCTGCACTATTCATTCTAATGGGGCAATGAGGTAATAACAAAGACATGAGAGTAAAGTATATAATACAGTTGTATAGTTATACGTGATAGAGAGGGATAAATAATAAGAACCAGCAACAGGGTCAGTGAGTCTACAATGTCTGTTGGAGGGAGTGGTGGCCAGTGGAGTTCTTGCTGAGAAGCAGATTTTGAGTAGAAACTGGAGAGAAAGAAAAAAAAAAAATCAAGCCATGAAAATATACGAGAAGAAGGCATTCCAGTTTGAGGAAAGATCAAGTACAAAAAAAATCTGACATAGCAAGAATGTATTTGGAAGGTAGCACCAATGGGATTATTTTGGTAGACAGTTTGGGAGTTGAGAGAGGGGAGAGAGAGAGAGAGAGAGAGAGAGAGAGAGAGAGAGAGAGAGAATGGAGTCATTATTATTTATGATAGCACAGATTAAGGATGAGTTGGTTTAGGGACAAATACCAAGAATTCAGCCTGGGATGTATTCAGTCTGAGATTCCGATTATATACTCAGATGGACAGGTCAGGTAGGCAGCGTGGGTTTGGGTCTGGATTTTGAAAAGGTGTCTGAGCAGGAGATAGCAGTTGGGAGAACAGAGGTGGTATTTCATGCCATGGAACTGGGTGAAATCCCTAAGGGAGTGAATACAGAGAGCATAGGGAAGAAGTACCAAGACTGAGCGTGGGGCATTGCAACGTTTAGACATGGAGTGAAAAAAGGAATATAAAAGAGAAAAGAAAGACGAGTCAGAGCGATAGGGAGAAAGCAGGTGAAAGTACCGGTTTGGGGCCCAGGGAAGAAAGCATTTTCTTAAACCAGCATTTTCTATAATCAGATGGGTTAATGCTTCTGATAGGTCAAATCTGATGAAAACTGAAAGATGATCACTGGGTTCAGTGATTTGGCGATCATTAGCGAGCTAGAGAAGAGCAGTTTCAGTGGAATGAAGGAGACAGATCATGACTTAAGAATGTTCGACAGAAAGGGAAAACTTGGAGAAAGCGAGTTATAGAAGGCCCTTCTCAAGGAGTTTTGCTAAAAGGGAAGAAAGAGAAAGGGGAGAAACAGTTGGGAAGGAGAGAAAGGTCAAAAGGGAGCTTTTATTTTATCTATCTTCCCTTCAATTATCTATTCATCTGTTCATATTTAATCCTGGGAGAAATGTTTATAGGCTAACAGACTGATCCATTAAAGAGAAGAAAATGATGACTCTGAACAGAGAGGGAGAATGGCTAGAGAGGTTGGCAATGGCTAGAGCCAGGTCTAGCAATGACCTTGAGGGGGCACGAAAGGATGGGGATGTAACACACAGGTGTGGGCTAAGTCTCGACTGGGAGCATTAGAATGACAAGGTCAGGAGTCTAGACCCTGCTTCAGCTCCTTCTACTTTTTCTTTTTCTCCTTCTCTCTAATGGCTCCATAATCTAAATGTAAATTATCCCTTACAAGCTGGAAAATAAAGAATCTTACCCAAAAGAACCCAGTGAGGAAGGATGGCGAAGACCCCATGGGGACCTACAAAGAGACGTGGTAGGAGCCTAGGGTAGTTGGGATGTTGGAATATTTCACATTTAATATCTTTTTTTTTTTTTTTAGCTCTTAGATATCATTTATATTTGCAAGCAGGAGTGATTAATGATTCTATTTCAGCAAAATAATCTTGTGTCTATCTGCTGTATGGAGAACGAGTTGAAAATCGAGAAAAACCTATAGAATCACCAATTGTTTAGATAATGCAATGCCCATCAACGACTTCACTCTTTTTCTGTGGCTGAATTGACTGACTGTTTTCTCCCACTGGAAGGACACAATATGGATTTGAAGGCTTATACAGGACCCCAGATAGTCTGATCCCATATCAAGGGACCTTATTGTTCGACATTAAACATTTCCTTTTGTTTAAGTTTTCTCAGAGGCCATTACTAACTAAGGGAGGGGGAGGGTAGCTTTGGATTCTTTTGGCAAAGTTAAAGATAGATTAGGAAGCTGCTGACCGTACAGAGTTCCTTAAAAATATGTCCACGCATAGGAAGAATAGTGAGCAATCAAAGGCAGATAGTTTTGATAGCCATTACAAACTAAACATTCTGGATTGAGATAATTACCAGTCATCTGTGACAACCAGTGAGGATTTTATCTGGAGTATCTAACTACAAAATGAAGAAATCTTAATAGGTTAAGCTAATGAATTTGTATTTAACTTAACTTGATAGTTATTTTCAAATTACATATTTGTGTGTATATAATTAAGTACATCTCTAGAGATAATGTATACTACCTATAAAATATATGTGTGTATAAAATATATATCTAACACAAATTTTATGGTAAAAAGATTTCCTCCACAGCAACTTTATTTCTGGGACAAAATCCTTGTACTAGAGACAATAGAGATGATTCTTGCTCCCCTGAGCTGGGAGAATGTTTCATGGCCCTCTGCTTGCATAGGCCTCTCTAAGGCTCTGTTTCTGATTTTGAAACCACAATTTTGTTTTGTTTTGTTTTTATTGGAGAAGGTTTCCAAATTGATAAACTCCAGAACTAGAAAAACCTGAACGCATCCGGGCCTTGGATCACTTTAAGTATTCAGTCCAGAATGACAGTTGCACCCTTCTAGTGTAGTCCGATGCAGTATAAAATCCCAGACTCATTACAGAGACTCTCCTCCCCCAGCTCGGGTCTAATTCAGACTTGAATGTCCGGATATTTGGGGGCGGGTCCTGCTGGCTTCTCTTGTCTTTGCTTCCCTCCTGCTCCAGTTAGGTTCTGCTCTTGACTTCTCTAGGATTGGCCTCAGGGGGAGTAATCACAAGTGGCCAGTGTGGTAGCAATCTGGTATGGCTCGGCAAATTATCCCAAACTGACCCCTTTCCTCTTACCCGGTGAGTGTTTTGGTGTATTTCTTGGCAATATTTTCCTCCTGAATCTTCTCTCTGCTGCTCACCTGATGAGGCCGGTATCTTTCCTGGGCTGGCCAAACTTCTCTGGGTGTGGAAACGCAGCTTGACCCAATGCACTGCCCTCTCCTTTCCTCTAGGCCTTGAATTTCTCAAGTCACTTTTCTTTGGCTTGAGGTTAAGGGGGAAACATCACGTCTGCTTCCCCGTGGGTGTGTGTGTGCATCAGCATAGCTCACTGCTAACTCACTCTGGAGAAAACTTCTCAGTACTTTCCATCTTTTTAGGCTAAGGTCAGTGAGTAGCTAATGCCAATAGGACCAGTTTGGAGCTGCTGTGTCCTCTCCTCTGCCCCATTTTAAACATTCTGAAGGAATGGTATAGCATCCGTCTTCAGATGTAGGTGTACTTAGAGCTTATTGTTTTGTGCTTCACCCGAGAGAGATTAAGTCGAAGCAGGATGAATGGCCTGTAATAACCCATTATACTCCCACATTGGAAGACACAGGGAAAATAAGACACAGAAGACAGAAGACACAGAAAATAAAGATGAAACAAGGCCGAAAGAAGATTTTGGCCAATGGAACCAATGTACAAATATGGCAGGATAATCCTGTCATGTGAGAAGGTGGCCACCCAAGTCTGGAGGGACGACTTGGGCAGTGTACTCAGAATAAAACCTTTCCATTTCTGACTCGGCCAATCAGGCACATCTTTATTTAAAGTGGCCTATAATTTCCTTTTCTAATCTAAGTTTTGACTTCTGGGGATAGCACTTAAAGACAGAAAGGGCAGCTGTATGGAAATGTAAAGTCTGAGAACCAATGGATATTTGTAAATGGGCTCACAAGAAAGAATCTATCTTGGTTTCCCACAATCTTATAATCTACTTATTTCTTTGGTTGTAGGGATCCAGTTCCATAACATATTCTCCAGGCCTCTGTAACAGTTTAGAAACATTTATCATCCAAACACCCAGCAGGTTAACCTCCAGCCTACACTGGTCCTCAGAAGAAGTAAGATTTTATGGAGATTTTACGGACACATCTATACTGTGTCTGAAACGGAAGTAGAAACTTACCAGTTTCAAAGACTGTGTTGAGTTACTGGGATAAAATTATTAAACTGTTAAGTTCTTTTACACATAGACGATTCTTGGTTATTTGCATCATACGGTGGCATTTATTTGTGAATTGTCTCAGATTTCACACACTTGTTTACCACGTAGGCCAACAGAGGACCTGACACTCGTAGATACTGACTTGCATTCTCAAATTGGATTCATCGATCTTAAAATCGACGTTAAAAGTAACAGTCGGCTACGCATTTTTTGCTTTGGCCTGCCTCAAAGTGAGACTGGGGGCGCCAGGCAAGCCAGTGTTAAAAGGTCTCACGAGAGGCACACCGAGCCTTCAGCGGGTGGGATGGAAACGTGGCAAGCACTCTCGCGAGACCTGAAGTAACCACAGCGGCAGCAGCCAGAGGGAGGAGCCGAGCACCGGAAGTCCTTCATCTGGAGAGCCGGCCCCCACGCCGGAAGGGGCCTGACTTTTCTTTAAAAGAGACCATTTTCCCGGAAATAGGGAGACGCCTACTTGGCTGGAAGTTCCACTTCCTTGAGCGCTCCTCCTCTTCTGGAAGTTTTTCTGTCGCCTGTGCTCGCCTTTGCCCCCTTTCCTTGTTTTATCCTTAGAGTAGAAAAGAATACTTTCAGTGTCTCCCTCCTAGTTTCGCCGAACTGGTTGAGTATCTCACTCCCCAAGGTGAGGCTCCTGCCTCACACCCCCGTGTAGCTGGGAAGGTGGGACCCGGGCATGTTTGGACTCCGGGGACGCTGAAGGAAGGGCAGAGAGAGGACACAGAGCCCCTCTTCTGCACCTGCTACCAGACTAGGTCTCCTCTAGTCGCGCATCCCACCGCCATGCACCCCGCGGCCTTCCTGCTTCCCGTGCTTGGAGCCACCGTGCTGTGGGGAGCGACCCCCATCCGGGGGCTCATTCGAGCCACTTCAGACCGCAATAACAGCATGGATTTTGCAGACCTGCCAGCTCTCTTTGGGGCTGCCTTGAGCCACGAGGGACTTCCCGGGTTACTTGTGGAGGCCCAGCCAGCCAACGCCTGCAGCCCCATTGCCCCGCCACCCCCGGTTGCGGCCAACAGATCGGTCTTCGTTGCACTTCTCCGAAGATACGACTGCAACTTCGACCTCAAGGTCCTGAACGTTCAGAAGGCTGGGTATGGGGCCGCTGTGGTACACAACGTAAATTCCAATGAACTTCTGACTATGGTGTGGAGCAGCGAGGAGGTCCAGCAGCAGATCTGGATCCCGTCTGTGTTTGTTGGGGAAAGGAGCTCCAGGTACCTGCGTGCTCTGTACGTCTATGAGAAGGGAGCGCAAGTGCTCCTGGTCCCGGACAATAAATTCCTCTTGGGCTATTGCCTCATCCCTTTCACAGGGGTGGTGGGACTGCTGATTTTGGCCGTGGCAGCAGGGCTGATAGTTCGTTTCATCCAGCACCGGAAACATCTCCAGCGGAATCGACTGACCCAAGAGCAACTGAAGCGGATTCCTACACACGACTATCAGAGGGGAGACCGGTATGAGGTCTGTGCCATCTGCCTGGACGAGTATGAGGATGGAGACAAGCTGAGGGTCCTTCCCTGTGCCCATGCTTATCACAGCCACTGTGTGGACCCCTGGCTCACCCAGACCCGGAAGACCTGCCCTGTCTGCAAGCAGCCTGTTCATAGTGGCCCTGGAGACGGGGAACAGGAGGGAGAAACTCCGGGGCAAGAAGGTGATGAGGAAGGGGAGCCAAGGGACCAGCCCGCCACAGAACGGACCCCGCTTTTGGGCTCCAGCCTCACGCTTCCCACATCCTTTGGCTCCTTAGCCCCAGCCCCCATTGTTTTTCTTGGGTCTTCAATAGATCCATTGCCCTCCCCATCCTCCTCTCCCTCTTCTGCGGCCATCCTGGTCTGATACCGCCCTCCCCCCCCCACCTCTGGCCACCTATTTGCACAGCCCCTGTCCCTGCCTTCAGTCTAACCTTGTGAGGGTTGGGACGCATTTCCACCGCAGGTTTCTTTCTCCTTTACTCAACCCTATCCTTTCGAGGGGGCTGGGGGTGGAAAGGGACGGGGTCTTCACTTACTGGACTAATAAAATTGTTTTTGTGGAGTGAAAACAAAAAGTCATTCAGATAAGTGCGAAAGCCATAGGTGAAAGCTGTCAAAGGCAATTTGAAAGAGCGTATTTTAGTAATTCGTGCCAAGGGTGACCAAAAAAAAAAAAAAAAAAATCAGAAACGTTATCTTAAATCCCTCAGAGTATCTTAAATTTACCTCGGGATATTAACATTTTTACATTTGGCCTTGATGCAAGTTCTCCTATCTGTAAAAATTTCAGCGCATTTCTTTTAGCCATTTTTGAGAGGGGTGGATATAAATGGAATAAATGACTCTTATCTAAATGTTGAATTATCGTCAGTTAATGCCTCGAGAGTGCAAAACTGTTGAAATGTCCATGGGGTCATGACAAAAAATAACTAGGTTGCAGGTCCCCTGTCCTCTGCTCTTCTTATGTGGTAAGTGCCTGTGTAAACATAGCAAGTTTAATCGCTTTACAGCATGTGGTCTTTTAGTATTCAGATATGGCTAATTGGGGTGGAATTTCAGGAGGATGCATTTTAGCTTTGTCTTTTGTTTAAATGAAGGACCCATGCCACATGGCATGCTTTTCACCTGAGAGAGGTGACTGTTAGGCCATATTTTCTGTGTGTGGAGCTGCCTATGTGTAATTCAAGAGTTAGCTAATACCCTTCCTTTTTAGAAATTAAGGTCATTTTCACCTTTTAATGATTGTTATTATTAGCTAAGCAAGTTCTTATTGTATGCTTGCTTTCAGCTCACCTCCGACTTCCTGATCCTGCATTGATAATGCAAATGATTAAATACTCTGTTATTTGGATTAGAATGTTCTCTTTCATGCAAGCCGTGAAATAACTTTTACACGGAAAGACTTCTGTATTGGAAAACAGAGTCAGTAGTCATGAGAAAATGTAATATTTACGTGAACGTATAGTTTTATTTCGATAAAGATACATGTAAAATCACAGGTTTAGAACTGAGATGGTTCTATTAAGGCAATTGCAAATATGAGTCCGATGGATGATCTGTTCTGTTCATTAATGTTATGCTCCAGGTTTTTATTTCAATATTTTTCACAATGTGCATCTTTTGGCATGAGATTCTATTAAAATGTGTGCATTGATGAGCATTAGACAATATTGAGGGCTGCACAACCATGGGATCTCCAAGGAACAGATGCTGAGGTGGAGTTTTGTGTTTATGAGTTGGTTGAGGAGTGAAGGAAGCAGAACTGGGCAGAGGTAAGAGTTGAAGGCCACACTGCCATCGCAGGAGAAGTCTCAGCGGGTGCCCCAGAGAGCACTGGAGCAGGGATGGCCCCGTAAAGATGTCCCAGATCAAAGCAAGAGAGCAGGTCCACGTGACCCTGAAGTCACCAGTCATTTCTTATAGGCTGGCACAGGGGGAGAGGAGTGATCTTGGGCCAGGTAGCTTTCTTCAGGCAAGGACAGTTTCTGGAGAGAAACTCTGCTGAGAACCTTTGACCGCCAAGGTTTAGTCCTGAGTGGAGGGGGGGGGGGTGGGGGTGGGGGCGGAGGGGTGTTGGGCAGACCACTATAGCATATTCTATAACTATTTACTAAGGGTGGGTGGGTCCAAAGAATAACAAGTGTGAGAAACTTCCCTGGCTTACATTGTCCAGCATTCCTTTCTGGTTTTATATGACATTCTGAGGTTAGCTCCAGAGGTGAGCAATGTATGGAAAGTGGCTAACTGCTACCTGTATGAACTTCCTTTAAAGGGAAGGAAGGCCACAAGAGTGGCCTTTGTTAAGCCCAGTGGAGGATGAATGAAAGTCACAAGCAAAGACTATGAGACGTTTCCTGTACTCATCACGTGTCCACTGAACATCTCCTGAGCTTCCATGACATTCCAGGCACAGCAGGGAGCTGTGACGGAGAGAAGGAAGGTCTCATCCCCAATTCTCTGATATTCGGGAGAACATAAACAAGTAAACAGCCATTACGTAGCGTGATGCTTGTGACAATTAGTAAGAAAGGGGATATATGATCAAGGAAGAATTATCCACCCATGCGCTGGAGTGGCTGGGCTCACACTGGCTCAAGAGAGCCAGTTGCTAATTCTGGAAGCCTTGCCACATCGTTGCTAAACACAGGCATTGCCAAACATTAGATTATATAAACTTACTATTAAATAACCTATATTAAAAACAAAGCTAATACACGCTCATCACTTCCTAATTATTTTACTCTTCCTTACACTCCAGAGGTCCTTTCTGTCTGTTAGCCCTGCCTGCATGTAGAGCTCATGCAGGGGGGTGCTGCCGCGCATGTCTTCTGATCTCTGTGTCAGTGACATTACATTGGAGCCTGAAATTGGTTGCGACAGAAGTATTTATACCACAGAAGCTGGCAAATAATTCTCGCCCATCTCGCTTCCCCTGGGTTGGATTTATGTATTGTTTTGCTGGTTACCTAGACTTAACAAAGTGATAGAGACAGTGGCAATAACGCAGATGAAATTTAAATGTGTGTCATGTCTTCAGCCGTTACGTTACCAATAGCACAACAACGTGAGGAGCTATCCTTCACGTGTTTGAAAACTATCTGGCAAATAAGTCCCCATGTCATCGATGAATGAGTGACATTGTCAGTACATCTTCACTTTCCCCCCTTTTGTCCTTCGCATTAAGATAAATGGAAATATCGAGTAATATTTATGTCAGAACTATATGAGTTTGTCAATGCCGTGAGCAACTTCTGAATTGGGAAGCGATCGAGCGTTTATTCAGAGTCTAATTTTGCGAAAGCACGGTTCAGTTGCAATCATAGTTTGGCGGAATGGGCAAGAGTTCAGCAATCATCAGCCTAAGTGTCCCGGGAGGATAAGTTGGCTGTGTCGTATCTACAACAAAGAGCCTTGTGTATTTTATTCTTTTCGTAAACTGTGCACTACACATCCCTTTGCATCAGTAGAGACTGTAATACAATGGTGCGCGTAGGCGCATCTCTGCATTTTCCCCAACAAGAGTGGGTTGCTAATCGTTCGCCAGCATACGACTAAGTAAAGCAGAGCAAGTGTAGACGTTCACTCAGTCGCTGTATGAGCACGTGGGAGGGCGTGTGACCCATTCAGGAAGGACGGCGTGAGGGGAGAACCGAGAGGAAAAGGAAGGTTTAGCCGAGGCCACTAGTTGGATGCAGATTCCATTCCACTCTCTCACACCGTGTTCTGCTTTGTAGCAGGTCACACGAAGATGAAGTTCTCGGGCTCCTCTTTCATTCTGCCATCAACACCGCCGATCACGAATGCATTGATTGGCTCCCGTGTGGCCTGGATGAAGTCCCCAAGTGCAGCACTTCTCACACTCCTTACTCTTTCTGCTACGACCACATTTTTGTGACCATCTCTTCAGCGCTGTTGAAATCACCTGTTCTCGCTGGCCAGGTGCTTCCAGGCGGTCTGGCTCTGTGTGGATTCTCTCCAGTGCTCACCATTCCTTGCGTTATTTTGGGAAACCTAAGCCTTCTCCTCATCATTGGAAAGCCCCGTCTATCCATTACCCCCAATGGCAGGGCTACTCCTTCTAGGTCCTGGCTTCCATATTGGAATATTTTACTCAGTGCCCCCGGATCATTTTTCCTAAGTCCCGGTTCTCAAGTCTCCCCCCGCTCCATGTTTATTTTGCTCTTTTCCTCCTATAGATTTACCGTTCTTAATTTTTGTAGAATTCATGATCGAATATTTGACAAATCAGAAATCTCCTTAAATTTCAATGGGAAACTTCATGGGTTTTTCCAGTCAAAACCACTTTCAGCATTCTTTAAAACATTAAAAAAGTGATGAATAAAAATGTGTTTTAAAGACAAATGCATGGGGCGCCTGGGTGGCTCAGTCAGTTGAGCTTCCGACCTCGGCTCAGACCATGATCTCTCAGGTCGTAGGTTCGAGTCCCACGTGGAGCTCTGTGCTGACAGCTCAGAGACCGGAGCCTGCTTTTGGATTCTGTGTCTCCCTCTCTCTCTGCCCCTTTGCCACTTGCACTCTGTCTCCCTCTCTCTCAGAAATAAACATTAAAAAAATTAAAAAAGAAAGACAAATGCAGAACTATTATGACTTAATGTTTTTGCTTTACAAAGACTTTTTTTTTTTCTTTAAAAAGTTCATGGTATAACACATCCCTAGCCTGTAGATTCCTTAAGGAAAGAAACAGTAAATGTTATCTAATTATCATCAGGTACTAGCTCAGTCATTGTCATATGCCCCAAATGAATACCTAAATATTTTTAAGTCATTTCTTTAAAACTTGATTATATAAATGAGATTATAAACTTTTTTTTATTTGTAATAAGAATAAAATAAAATAAAATAAAATAAAATAAGAATAAAATAAACTTTTATTTTTTATTTGTAATATTTGTCACCGTATCAAAGCCATGTGCATGGACATCAGTGGAATGTTTTGAAAGATGTGTTAATGTTTTTAAAGATGCCGTTACAAGTTCTGTCTCTGCTGCTTTCTCAGATGATCATCCTAACTCCACACATTAAAAAAAAAAAAATCTATTCATCCAGCCATTCTATCCTTCCATTTTTTCACCCAGCTGATTAAGCAGTCATTCCTTCTGTAAATACTAGCCTGTGTGTTGGTATTATGACAGTGTGCAAGATAGATAGGGCCCTGCTCTCAAGGAAGGAAGAGAGGATTAAGCCCATCATGTAAAATGTGATAGAAAAATACATCTCTAGTACTTCTCACAGTAGAGACTTTTTGGGCCTTTAGGTAAGGAAGAAAGACCTAGAACATCGCAGGGGAGGAAATGAAAATTCTGCTCCGTTCTCAAAGGTGTAAAAGGGCTCGGCCCAGAAACGAGGAGAGGCAGGGGTATTTAGTCAGACTAGGGCACAATCCCTGTAAACCTATGGGGAAGAGAATGCGATATGTTCTAGAAACAAAAGGAATCGCAGTATTTCTAGGGCTTGGGTTACAAAGCAAGGAGTAAGGAGTGATGTGGCCGTCAGTGTGATGAGGGGCTAGAATGGGAAAGACCCCATCAACTGGTTAGACAGTTTGGAATTCTCATCATGACTGAGGATGGGTTACTACGTGAAAGAGGGGGCAAGACTAGGGTTTGGGAGGCCAGTTAGAAGGTGGTGCAGTAGACCAGGTG